CCAGAAGATATTCTCTGTTAGGAGGATTCTCATATTGAAGGTTAAGAGAGATTGGCGCAGCTAAAAAAAGTAGGCAAAGCGCGAAAATTTCATACCTTTCCCCAAAAATGCTTTAAGCGGATGAGATTGTCTACAGCAAAATGGAGCAACGCTCTCAGCTTACTATCTTTTTCAACTGCAACAATATCTGAGATGACACCAGGGCCGCTATCAGCGGCAGCTTGAACTCGTACATAAAATGCATCTTCAGCTTCGGACAAGACCCTAAAATGAATAGCTGATGGATTTGTGATTAGAAGAAAATACCATTGAAAACTTGGATTCATTTTAAGTGAAGGATTAGAGAAATTATCCTTTATTGAGCAGGAAACATCAATCGCAAAACTTAAACATTCCGTATATCATCCCCCTATATAGATGTGATTAGTAAAGCTCTGTGAAAGGTATTCTGCTTATTTCACACGCATTCCAAAGGAGAAGAAGATGTTTTTAAAAATAATAAAGCTAGGAAAGAGCGATTGAATGTCATAGATTTGAATACCTAAAGTCTTATTGTCCTAAAAACACAGGTATTGTTCAATATAGATTCCCTTGACCTCTAATTCAAAGGCTTTAGTATGTGGAAATAAAGCTAATATGCTAACCTCACGCTGTTTTCCGTGCCATCCAATACTAACTTTTGCCAGTCTGCCAGCGGATATTCTTTATTAAAGCTGTGATAAACCACATATTTCTGAAATAAATGTGTCCATATCGGTCATAGATCAATTAAATACTCCACAATTTGGCATACTGTAATATTTCCATTAGGATGTGAAGGTGGCTGCCATGTCACCGTATAACCTCCACGTTCACTCTGCAATGCTACTGCCGACGGAGGACTTCCTGGACCACGAATGCGAACTGCAATTGTTTTTGACACTTGCCCGGCTGGATTTGCTGCTATGCAAGTCAAGTCGTCATTTCGGGTTCTGGAAGTTCAAGTTGTATGCAAGTTCGTTTTATGTAGACATTTTATTGTATTCAAATAATCGAAAACTTGATTGACCTCGATTTTATGTGGATTGTAGAAGTC